GATGTGTGATCGCGCAACTGTGAGTCAAATTCCACCGGAGGTAATGGAGCGCTTCCCCTCCACACCAAATGGCACGTCTGACCACAGCCTAAAACACACAAATAAATTCAGCTTGAAGTTGGCTAGAGGAACTCTCTTAGCTCTGATCTTCAGTTGCCTAGGCACAATGCTCCAGAATACTAAAGGCTGGGTCAGCCCTCTTTGTTCTTACATGAGCAAAGCTGCAAAGATATGGCATTGGTGGTCTGAGCTCAGAGGGATTCACTTAATAGCAAACAAATGGCGTCTTTCAGATACTTCCCTTACTCTCATTAGGCCTACATTGACAGTGTTGGGAGAGCTAAAAAGTTAGGTTTAATAGCAAGTTGCAGCCTAGTTTAATAGCAGAGGGCATTTTCTGCCTCTCTCCAGTCATGGTAGGGTTGCTAGCTCTGAGCTGGGAAGCAGTGGGGAGCAGTGTTTCCTCTAAGCTGAGTTGGTGTGAGCTAGCTCACAGTTTTGGCCTCCAGCTCACATATTTTTGTCTTAGCTGAGGAAGGCTGCCTCCAGAGCAAACTAATTTATGCAGTAGCCGAATCGCTCACGCACAACTTTAATGCCAGTAGCTCACAAAGTAGAATTTTTGCTCACAAGACTCCACAACTTAGAGGGAGCATTGCTGGGTAGGGTAGGGTTTGGGGACAGAAGGGTGCAATGCTATAGAGTCCATCCTCCAAAGCAGCCATTTTTTCCAGGGGAACTGATTTTGGTCAACAGGAGATCAATTGTAATAGCAGGAGATCTCCAGTTGCTGCCTGGAGACTGGCAACCCTAAGAGTTGGGGAATATGTAGTCGAATGCTGATTCTTGGTGGATGAAGGCGGGAAAGTGAGGAAACAGCCTGCACTGCAGCTTCAGTTACCACTGGTAGCCTAAGGGTTCTTTAATTGGCTTCTTAATTATCTAGCAGTCAGGGGTGGTCTTGGTGGTTCTGGGGCCTGGAGCAAAAGTCCAGGATGGGGCCCCAGAATCACTGCCAATCCACTGCTGGCCCCCGCTGGGGCCATTTAAGGTTGGTGGGTGCAAACACGTGGCATAAGCCTGCTCTTCTTCTTCTCCGCCCCCCCTCCTGGGAGGGGCGTGGGTGGTCTGGCTCCCCAGCACTGGGCCAGTGTAGCTGCTTCTGTCGCCCATTGCCTAGGACCACTCCTGCTGGCAGACATGTGTTGAACGGTTCAACAGCTATACGTGGCTCCTGAGCCACAGTTAAACCACAGAAGAATACAAGAAGAGCCCTGCTGGGTTCGATCAGTGGTCCATCTAGTCCAGCATCCTGTCTCACACAGTGGCCAACTAGTTCCTCTGGAGGTCCAGCAACAGGGCATAGAGGCCGAGGCCTTCCCCTCAAGTTGCCTCCTGGCTCTGGGATTCAGAGGTTGGTTGGCTCTGAACGTGGAGGTTCCCTTTAGTCACCATGGCTCATAGCCATTGATAGACCCAGGCCCGTAACCAGGATTTTGTGGCTTGTGGGGCAATTTTTTTTCTGGTGGGGCAGAAATTCTCAGTGCAGAAAGAAAAGCCAGGATTCTGAGGATTATGACTCGGCTACCCTTCTCTCTCTGAGTCATTTCAAGCTGCCTATTCTACATAGGTGTTCTTATGCTAGCAATCACCCTTAGCCTATTAACCATTTAGCCAAAAGAAAGCTGTTACCAGGATAGATCTCTAAACTGCAAGCTGTCAACCACTTTGGATGACAGTTCTCATCTGCTGCGAGTTAATCACTTCTGCCAGCCTAAGCAACAATTCTGATAACAAACCGGCAGGTGGGGTGATGACTTCTATAGTCAGGAAAGCTAACACTTAGGCAGAAAAACTCTATTAAAGGAGACCAATTTCTTGACACAGAGTCAGAAGAGATCCTAGAGGTCACCTACTCCAACCCCCTTGCTCAGTGCAGGAATTAGTCAACTAAAACACCCCACTCTGCTTAAAGGCACTTACAAGAGAATTTCTTGTGGAGCTGTGCCTTTAGGAAAGGGGGAAGAGCCCCCCAAAGCCCTACCATAGCTATGGGCCTGGGCAGACCTCTCTTTCATTCATCTGTCTGATCTCCTTTTAAAATTGTCTATGCCTCTGGCCATCACTACATCCTCTGGCAGCGAATTCCACTTTTTAATGACTCCATATGTAATTTCCTTTTGCCCATCCTGAATCTACTGCCCATCAGCTTCATTGGATGCTTTCAAGTTCTACTATTTTGGGATCAAACAAAAAAACAAAACCCTGATAAGCAGAAAACATGTTGTATTGCTTTCCCCCCACTGAAGTTCTTGGTCACGATGGGTGCCAAAAGAAGTCATGCCTCCTTCCCTTCCCCTCCTCCAAGAGAGCATTACTTCATAGGAGCCCAAGGCAAAACGAGAGCCTCCATCTTCACCAGAGGTGATGGCCTGCAGCTGGAGAAATTTGGCTGGAACTAAACCCGCCTTCCCTAGAGTCCTCCTTCTGGCCAGACTAGAGGGAAATTCCTTCTGCAGGCCTATTGTGGAAGTTTCCTTTCTCCATTTAATTCATCACAGAAGGCAAGGCAGTTCCTTTCCCCCACAATAAATCTAGCAAAAAAACATTAGCCCTGTTAACAGCACAGCCTTTGGCTCACTCAGCTTTCTCTCAATCTTGTTAGATCCTTCTAGAGAGGATAGATGGGCCGAAACCTTCTCTCACAGCTCTGGAGTTCAGCCCATGGGCGGGGGAGGGGACTGCTCTTCCCCACTGAGTGAAGCAGGCAAATGGCCAAAAGAAGAGATGATGGGGACGATCCCACAAACATAAGAACATAAGAAGAGCCCTGCTGGATCAGACCAATAGTCCCATCTAGTCTAGTATCCTGTCTCACACTGTGGCCAACCAGTTCCTTCAGTCGGCCAACAATAGGGCATCAAGGCTGAGGCCTTCCTCTGATGTTGCCTCCTGGCTCTGGGATTCAGAGGATTAGTGCCTCTGAATGTGGAGGTTCCCTTCAGCCACCATGGCTAGTAGCCATTGACATACATCTTCCGTGAATCTATCTAATCACCAGAGTTACAGCTGTTGAATTGGTAGAGCTATCCAGAGCACAGTCTACTCCAGTTTTATTGGATAAGTTTCAGGTGATACAACTCGAGGATGCAGACAAGATGCTTGGACAGGTTCGTGCAGCCACCTCTGTACTGAGTCCTTGTCCCTCTTGGCTTATAAAAGCCAGCATGGGAGGGATAACCAGCTGGACCAGGATGGTCACCAAAGCCTCTTTGCGAGAGAGAGTGGTCCCATCCTGACTCAACGAGGCAGTGGTGAGACCACTTCTCACAAAACCCTCCCTTGACCCAGAAAATTTAAACAACAATAGGCTGGTACAAATATTCCTTTCCTGGTTGCCAGTCGACTCCAGGTATTTGTGGATGAAACAGATTACCTGGATCCATTTTGATTGGGGTCCAGGCCTGGTTTTGGCACAGAAACAGCCTTGGTCGCCCTGTATGATGACTTATGCCGGGAGCGAGATAGGGGGAATGCCACCCTTCTGATACTGCTGGATCTCTCGGTGGCTTTTGATACCATCAACCATGGTATACTTCTGGAGCGGCTGGCTGAAATGGGAGTGGGGGGGGCGCTGTGTTGCCATGGTTCCACTCCTACCAGAAGGGCCGTCTCTAGAAGGTGGTGCTTGGGGAATATTGCTCAGCCCCGTAGATTCTCCAGCATGGAGTTTGTCAGGGGTCTGTTCTGTACCCCGTGCTATTAAACATCTACATGAAACTGCTGAGTGGGGTTATCCAGAGTTTTGGAGCGCGTTGCCATCAGTACGCTGATGACACTCAGCTCTATTTTTCTTTTTCATTGTCAGCAGGTGAAGCTGTGGATGTGCTAAACCGGTGTCTGGCTATGGCAATGGACTGGATGAGGGCTAAGAAACAAACTCAGTCCAGACAAGACTGAGATGCTGTTGGTGGGTAATTCCTTTGACCGGATGTGGGGTGTACAACTTGTTCTGGATGGGGTCGTACTCCCCCAGAAGGAGCAGGTTTGCAGCTTGGGGGTGCTCCTTGATCCGTCTCTGTCACTTGAGGCTCAGGTGGCATGGTGGCTCAGAGTCCTTTCTACCAGCTTCGGCTGGTGGCCCAGTTGCACCCCTATCTGGACAGGGATAGCCTGGCTTCAGTAATTTATGCTCTGGCAATCTCCAGACTAGATTACTGCAACACACTCTACGTAGGGCTGCCCTTGAAGACGGTTCAGAAGCTGCAGCTGGTGGAGAATGCAGCACTTAGGTTAATAACTGGGACCTGGAGGTCCAAACATAAAAGACCAGTTCTGGCCCACCTGCATTGGCTGCCTGCATGTTTCTGGTCCCAATTCAAGGTGCTGGTCCTAACCTATAAAGCTCTACATGGTTTGGGGCCATAACACCTATTGAAGTGCCTCTCCCAACCCTAATCTACCCAGGCACTACACTCAACCTCTGGGGCCTTCATTTGGGTGCCAACCCCTTGAGAGGCTTGGAAGGTGGCAATTGGGGGAAGGACCTTTTTAGTGGAACAACCTCCATGCTGTGGCCCACTTGGTGCCACATTTGCCATCTATTCAGTACCAGGTTAGGACAGTCCTCTTTGTGGAGGCCTTTAAAGACCTCCCTGGTTATGCAGGGGTCCGATACAATGAGCCAGGTGTTTTTCTTTCACTTTGGATCAGATCTTTTGGGGTCAGGTTTATTGTTCTTTAATGTTTTTATGTTTTATGTATTATATTTTATTGTTTTATATTTGTTGCAAACTGCCCAGAGAGTTTTGGCTATGCGTGGCATAGAAATAAAATAAATAAATAGATAATAAAGCTCTATCATGTCGTCGTCCCCCCCAGCCATCTATTTTCTGAACTGAAAAGTCCCAGTCTCTTCAGCCTTTCCTCATAGGAAGGTGCTCCAATCCCCTAATCATCATCTTGGTTGCCCTCCTCTGTATTTTTTTCCAGTTCTGCAATGTCCTTTTTGAGATATGGTGACATCATGTTCAAAACCAGAATGGAATTGAGACCTCTTCTGTAAAGACAAAGAAGGAACAGGACTGCCCAGTCCACCACCAAAGGTAGGTAAGACCTGGGAATGTGACAGACATTTCAAATTGACTGATGTGGCCTTCCTGTGAGGCTTTCTCAGGTGGCAGGGCCTGGGTGCCATTAAGGGCAGCATAGTGCAGCATGATCCATTAGGGAGTTCTCCTGCACATGCCTCACAGAAAAAGAGTGGAAGCTGGACAGGGGGGTCAGTGATGGTCTTAAATGATCACTGAGTCAGACCATTGACCTATCAAGGTCAGTATTGTCGACTCAGATGGGCAGCAGATCTCCAGGGTCTCAGCAGAAGCCTTTCACATCACTTGTTATCTGACCCTTTCAATGGGAGACGCCAGGGATTGAACCTGTGACGTTCTACCACTGAGCCACAGTCTCTCCCCTACTGTAGGTTTATCAAAGATAGCACTGTCTACTCTGACTGACAGCAGCTCTCCAGGGTCTCAGTCAGAGAAAAGTCATTCCCGTCCGACACACATACTTGGGTGCTTCTTAATCAGAACAGCAGGATTGGTATTTATATATCTATATCTAGGCTCTGACCTGGATGGCCTAGGCTAGCCTGATCTCGTCTGATCTCAGAAACTAAGCAGGGTTGGTCCTGGTTGGTACTTGGATGGGAGACCACCAGGAAAGTGCAGGGTTGCTATGCAAGAGCAGGCAATGGCAAACCACCTTTCAAGGTCTCTTGCCTTGAAGACCCTATGGGGTCTCCAGCTGTGACTTGATGGCATGTTCCTGTTGGCAGAAGTGGAGTACTGTGGAAGTGGAACATTGACTATTTAGAGAAAAACTAGTAAGTTTATTTTAAAAAGACAAACTTTGATAGAGCACAGAAGAGAGAGAGCCTTAACTGTCTAGCCCAGCTGCAGTGAGAAAAACCAGAGCAAGAAGGAAGCTCTGCAGGAGCAGGAAGTCTCCAGAAGAGCCAAGCAGGCGACGGCAAGGACATAATCTGAAACTGTGGGCAGTCCCTAATCTAGCTATGTTAACTACCAGTCCTTCAGCTGTCCCCCTGTAGGGTGATCTCCAGATCTTCTTCATAAGGCTGCACAGTAGATCTTGCACATTCCACCATATCTATATCCAGAGAGAGGGAGATAATATTTATCTCGGAGGGGGGGAACTGCAAGTACTCATGGGGGAAGGGAAATCCACTCCATTTCCTCTGTCCCATGCTAAATTGTACCATACAGAGAATCAGGCCATTAGTTTTTGGTGTGGGGTTGGGGTTTTTTTTGCATTGTGTGTGCGCTTGTGCATGCATGCATGCGTACTTGGAAGTCATGGTGACCTCTGGCAACTCCTACTGGGGCATGGAGGATGTTCAGAGAAGTGACTTGATAGCTTGCCTCTGGTTTCCCAGCCCTGGCATTCTGTGGAGGTCTCCCATCCAAATACTTGCCAGGGTCGGCCCTGCTTAGCTTCTGAGATCTGACAAGACTGGGCTTGCCTCGGTTATCCAGGTCAGGGCAAGAATCAGGCCATTAGTTGATCAACTTCAGTATTGTCTACTCTGATGGACTGCAGCAATCCAGAGCAATGTTCCCTCTAAGCTGTGGAGTTCTGTGAGCAAAGATTCTACTTTGTGAGCGACTGGCAATAAAGTTGTGAGTGAGCAATCTGGCTGCTGCATAAATGAGTTTGTTCTGGAGCCATCCTTCCTGAGCAGAGACAAAAAAAATGTGTGAGCCGGAGGCTAAAAAACGGTGAGCCAGCTCACACTAACTCAGCTTAGAGGGAACACTGCTCCAGAGTCTTGTACACAGAAAGCACCTGGTCCTCAACCATGGAGATGCCAGTGACTAGACCAGAGGCCCCACATAGCATGGGTTCTGTGACTAAGCCATGCCCCCTCCTTTATGCATCGGTCCCATATATTTCACTGGGGGTTTTATGGGGAGACTTCCAGATAGATTGGGTCCCAAATTTAATTGATAGCAGGGGGAATTAATTCATGTGCCATTTGAACTTTTCTTCACCTCCTCCGACATGTCTTCACCTGGCCATGTGAATGAAAAAGACCGAGAAAGGGAGGGGGGCATGGGTGGGATACTCAAATGGATCAAATAAATTCTTTCCCCTGAACGGAGTGTCATTTAGCTGGGGAGATTATAGGATCTCAAAAAAGCCCAGGCCTGCAATCTGATGGAGATGCTCTAATGAGCTAGATACACCCTCTTATAGACCTTTAAAAGCAACTGTACACTATGCTTGTGTTTGGGGGGGGGCGGTATTTAAGGATACGAATGTTGTGATACCATCCATTTCCTAATTAGGAATACATCTCACCAACACCAACCTTCACAAGGCCAGGTTTGCTAGGAACAGACAGCTGATGGCCCAGAGGCTCCTTATCTGATCTCTGCTGGAAATACCAAGGATCCCTTTATTATACACCTTGAATATTTCATCCCATAGTAGCTGAAACACAGGCTTTTTAACCTCTTCCTTCCTGATGGGAATAGCAGCAAAGTCTTTGCCTATGGTGCCACTCACAGTGGGGAGAAGCCGCCTTCTACCTGTGTGTCTGGTCTCAATTGTACTTGAAGCACAACAGCAGAACTGATTTGAAGATGGAGCTTTAGCAATGCGCCCCTCTGTCCAGCCATCAGTGAGACATTCAGTCTGTCTAGCATAAAGGCATGGCAGAGTGGGCTATCTGATGTCCAATGGTTTATCACAATTTTTTTTTCACAGGCTGAACATGCACCTGCTGTACAGTTGGCCCATGAATATCTTCTAATCAGGGAGGACAGGTCCATCAATGGCTACCTGCCATGGTGAGTAAAGGGAACAAAGGCAACAAACCTCTGAATACCAGTGCCGGGGGCAGCATCTGGGGAAGGTCTTAGCCTATATGGCCTGTTTGTTGGCAACTGGTTGATCACTGTGTGAAACAGGATGCTGGACTAGACGGACCACTGGTCTGGTCGAGCAGGGCTCTTCTTAGGTTCTTAATGAAGACACAGTTTTCGATAAATAGAGGATGAGAGGACGGAGTGAGTGTTAGACAAACAGGTGACATGGAGAAATCTGTTGGTCTTTCTGTTTCTTTATTTATACAATGTACACACTCTGTCTAAATGCTTGAGGTGGCTAATGAACAGCAGTGAAGCAGCAGAATAAAATTATCGCAACAAAAGCATAACATTATTGTAGTAAGACAAGATATACATGTTACACACAAGTCCACATAATTGTAACTGGAAGACCTTTTGGAAGTGGAAGCATCTCTTAGGGGAATGCAAAAGTGGCCGGCAGGGAAGGCACACTACTTAACCATATCTCTGAATCCAGACCTCCACCCTGTTCATTGCAACAGAAGGAGTGACTTGTTTTCTACACTGAAATTAATAGGCAACCCTTGTAGGGGTTTCATTGTGGGGAACTTGTAAGGATCTTATACATGCATTGGATGGCTTTTGAAATCATGTTGTAGCAGAAAGAATTCCCTAGGTCAGCTGTTCTTCCCCTCAAGCCTCTGGGATAGGGCATGGAGTTGCCAACTCTAGGTTCGAAAATACCTGGAGGTCTGAGGGTGGACCCTGGAAGACTGGGATTCAGGGAGGGGAGGGGCCTCCATTGGGTATAATGCCATGCAGTCCACTTCCCAAAGAAGCCATTTTCTCCAGCAGAAGTGAAATAAATGTTTTAATTAATTAATTAGCTGTTTACGTAGTCTGGAGATCAGTTGTGATTTTGGGAGATCTCCAGCCCCCACCTGGAGGCTGGCAACCCCAATAAAGCAAGATACAAATGAGCCTGAGCAAATAAGTCAACAGCTATCCATTATGCCTGGATCCAGCTCATGTTTTAGTACAATCCTGGACAGAGTTACTGCACTCCAAGTCCATTGAAATCACTGGGATTAGACTACATGGGTTTGCATTGTGAGAAACCCTCTCCCCCAAGAAACATTTGTACTGAACATTAAAGTTAAAAAAAAATGATAAAATCCTGTGAGCCACTTTGAAAGCGAATTTTGGCAGGGAAATGGGGATGGTGGGGAGGATATCATAAATAAACAAGTGTGGATGACATCCAAACATCTTTGATCAACATTTCCTCTTATTCATGTTCTTTCACAGACACAGAGGGTTCAAGACATCAGGGAAAGAAGCAGGAAGATAAGTGGACTTGATTCAGGGGCGTTGTCTCTAAAGAGGAGATTCTTCTGCCAAATAAACAGGCTCCCTGGTGCCTGCTGTTTTGTGGACTGCCGCTACTGTTAGTTGATGGGCAGTTATTGAAGGAATCCAGGACTGCCACCGAGAAGTCCAGGGTTGCTACGCAGAGGCAGGCAAAGGTAAAACCATTACTATCTCTTAAAAACATTTTATTACGAAGGCAAATGTATGTTTTAGCAATGCTCAGATGGCTACTTAATGTCATGTTTATCCCAGGCCAGACACTCTCTGAAACAAATGAGAGTTTAAGATCTAGCTTTCCTTTTTGTTTAATGGAGCTCAAGTTGTTTAAATCATCCACTTCCATATAAACGTTTCACTTAAAACAAGCCGACCTATTCCTCTCCATTAAAAGTTCATTCATCACGAGCAGAGGAAGGTTTCAGCAAGTTTCAAAGAGGGATTGGACATCTCTGTGGAGCAGCGAGAATAGCTAATAGTTTCACAGACTAAGGGGACAGAATGTGAAACCTCCCGCCTCAGGGCTATACCTGATCTCCACTCTGTCATTATACAGGCAAGCCATCTCATCAAAGGTTATACACTCCCCCCCACACACACACACACACCACCAAAGGTTTAGATGTGTTGGGGACAGGATATTGGTCTGGAAGGGCCATATGTGCAACCCTGGGCAGCATCGCATTTAGGGAAGGATAACGTCTAATAAAATCCAACAGCTCAGGACACCATCAGCCACTTCAGATGTTAATGATATGTACAAGTACAGGAAGCACAGTGTCTCCCATTTCCTGTCATTACAGTTCATTAGTGCCAAAAATGGGGCCACCCACATAGTTCCCAGAAGGGGACACATGTGCTTCGGATGTGGGTCCATTCAGTGTCAGTGCCATGACTGAAAGCTCTTCTGCACACGCGACTCAGTCAAGCAGGGCAGATATCATTTGGGGGATCTGGTGGTTAAACGTTTCCCTCCCACCTCAAAATCAAAACAAATCATTTCCCTATATATAGAAGTCTAGCATGCTAAAGAGAAAGAATGTCTAGGTTTCTCTTTCTGGCATTTTCATTTTACATGGATAGAGAGACTGTGATGTGGGGGTACATTAAAACATGAGGTCTTCCCCAAGAGTCTGGAATGGTACAATCTCAAGAATTCCGTGCCACATGGACTACATCTGTAGACCAGCCCTGAATCCATACTTCCTGATTTTGTGCGCAAGGCTAGTGGTCAGTGGTAGGGCACCTGTTTGGCTAGGAGAAGGTCCCAGGATCTCTCCAGGATCGTGGGTGTAATGTCCCCCTTTGGCTGTGGGTTCCCAGGTTAGAGTACTCACTCAGGCACCCATTCTCAGGTCCATTCAGCAGAGACAAGCTGGCTCAAAATATTAGCCGTTTATTTGCAAGGAGACTGGAAACTGGGTTTATTTGCAAGGAGACAACTCTAACAACAAATAACTTCAGCTAACCTACAAAACTGGAAACTGAAACATGAGTTCCACCCAATAGGACCAAACTCAGATATCAGGGGAGGAGCAGACTGTTCAATTACATACATACGTAGGCTGTTATCACATTATTTACTGTGTGTGATCACAGCCATAGATACAATAAATATACCACAGTGGGCAGCAAGTATTGGGAAGGACCTTTCTTTGCCCAATATCTTGAAGAACTACTATTAGTAAATGATACTGGGTTAGATGTACTAATGGTCTTTCTCAGACAACTTTGTGTGTTAATATTGACCCAAGTCATGGATGGGTGGCTGAAGGTGCTGTTACATCGTAATGCTTGACAATCAAAATGTCTTGACACATTGGCTGGAAATAAAAAGTGTTGATGCCATCTGAACTTGTGCCCATGTCGCATGTTTAAGACTGTGTAGAAGGTTGGCTAGATCTGAAGCGCGGCCATTGCTGGCACCAAAACTCTGGAATTTCTCTCCCCGGGGAGATTTGTCTGTTCCCTTCTGTTGCCCTCTTCTGCCAGGGGGCGAAGACTTTTTAATTTTGTTTCACATTCTTTCACTGATCCCTCCTTCGTCACTGATGTTTTAATTGTTCTTTTTATGTCTTTGTATGTATTTTAGCTCTGTTTTAGTGGTTTTAATGATATGTGGGGGGTTTGTGATGAGGTTGATTTTTAAAAAATTAAATGTGATTTTTATTATGTGTGTTTTGATTTGTTAGCCACCTTGGTGGCCTCTGTGAGGGCAGAAAGATGGGATATAAGTTTTGTAAATAAATGAATGAATGCAGCTGTCAAACAGATCACAGATTCTTAGTTGATTAATTGTCCACCTCTTAACTGTTTTACATATATTTGCATGTTATCAGAATTTCGATTTAGGTGCCTATTTGAGATATTAAAAGAAACTTTATGGAACTTGGAATAAACAAAGGCTGGACAAGAAGAGGCTGGACAACTGTTTGTCAGAGATGCTTTAGGCTGGTCCTGCATTGGGCAGGGGGTTGGACTAGATGGTCTGTATGGCCCCTTCCAACTCTATGTGTAATGTATTCTTTGTGAGGCCAACTGAATACATGTGTTATTGTGAACCTCCCCATTGAAACCTAATGTTAAGCTTCATCCTGGGCTAGGATCCAAAGACATTCTATCTGAAGACTAGCCCAGGAAACTGCATCCAATCACTTCACTGCTAGCTCCCTGATTGGTCCTTATCATTTCAACCTCATTGGTTGGGTATTGTACAGTGGGCGCGGCTACATTAGCCGGGAATGTTTAAAAGCAGGACAGCTGCAATGTTAAAGCTGTTCTGGCTGACTGATGTTGATCCGTGTTAGAGTTGTGTGCGTTCTGAAGAATAAAGTTATGTTCTTGCTGAATCACTCTCTGACTGCTTTTGTTAAGTGAGCGATTTAACACTATGATTCTATTATTCTAAGAATGCGTTCCCAGGAATCAGCCCCACTGAATAATGCGGGATTTGTTCTGAGTAGACTATTTTAGGATTACCCCCAAGGTGAGCAAGTACCTGGCACTTACTCCCAGGAATGTGTTCTTAGGACCGCAGACAAAAGCTACCACTCATTGTTAAAGGAAAATACTGTTAGACGTACCTGTGGTATTCAGTTTTTTAAGTCACAGTACAGCAACACACCAGAACCAAAATAGCCCTAAGAAATAAAGAAACATGCACTGCATTAGTTGTTATCACTGATTACAATTAGCCCTCAACAATGAATTCATTTTAAGTGTTAGCTGATTAATCTATCAACTAAATTCTGCACACTCAGTACTTGATAGGAGACCACCAAGGAAGATTCTGCAGAGGAGGGCAACTGGCAAACTATCTCTGCTTCTCACTTGCCTTGCGAAACCTATGTGGTTGCCATAAATTGACTGCAAACTGACAGATTTTACATACACAGGAAATCAATTCCACTGAAATCATCAGAGATTTATTTAGTGCTTTATTTTAGTGCTTTATTTATCCCGTGCTGCCTTTCAGGCCCCCTCCCAAGACACTTACAACAATAATCAAATATGAAAAAATAATACAAATATTGAAAACTGACCACAGAATACAATGACAGAGGACACGGTACCATCAAGCAACAAGGCAGCTCAAAGGCCTGCTGGAACAAGATTTTCAGTTGTGTCTGGGTAAAGGGGGCCTCAGCCTAACCTCCCTGGGAATGCAATTCCACATAGGGAGGGGGGGGAAGCAGAAAAGGGCCTCCCCTGACTCCCTATCATTGACAGTCTAACTTCAGACAAGGCCGGTTCCTACGGGACAACCATCAGTCTCAGGGTTTAGATAGGTTGATGCCGTAAAAAGTGATCCATTCGGTATTTTGTGTCAGCTAGCTGCCATTTTATGTTGCTTCTGTCCCGCTTGCTCACAGCTCAGCAGCTTTGCGTAAACATTGCTTCGGAGACTGTGGGAGCTCAGCTCAGCTAGACGGCGTTATCAGTCTGGCCTTGTAAGGATGGGAGGGCTTGCGGTCCACCACTGGTGTGAATCTTTCTGCTCTCAGGGACCCTGCGAGTCTCCCGCTCATTATGTAACTTCCCGCCGGGAGAATTTCCCCGCACGCACTCGAGGTTCATTTGCTTAGCTATTCGCCTCGTCTGGCTATATGTACGGATGTTCCCGCCCTATAGTTATTCCTAACAATAATCCTGTGGATGTGGTACCGGTTTTGTACTCTAATAAAGCATAACGCTTCTCAGGAAACGTGTGTGAAGAGTTACTTGCTGTGGAACCTGACACTTTGGACCAAAACTGTTTAGGGCTTTAAAGGTCAAAGTCAACACTTTGTAGAGTCCAGAAGCAAACTGGAAGGCAGTGTAACTCTAGGAGAACTGGCTTGATATGTTTATTACGAAGTTCCTGCTGCACTTTGTACTAGCCAAAGTTTCTGAACTACTTCCAAGTGCAGCTCACTTGCTTTTGTGTAAATGCATTCAAGATGATAAAGCAATATGATTCAGAAGCCTAATCCACAGAGCATTTGAAGACAGATTTAGGCTGCAATCCTACAAATATTATACTCAGGGTAAGCTCCAGTATCTACAATGGAACTTACTGATGAGTAGGCATGCTTGGATTCCTCCCTTTATTACCTACTTAAGATTACATTTGTTTGATGAAAAGATGGGCCTATAAAGATTTTCAATGGATACAGCGGAAACTGAATTTTGTATAAACGTGACATTTTGCAAATATGACCATTTCAGAATTTGACTTTTGAGCATTTTAAAATCTTGCTTTTGAAATATGACTTTGTAGGATCCTTTAAATAAAGCAAAAAAAAAAAAATTAAATCCAAAGTCTTGTTGATGGATTTCAGTTAGGTTGATTATTTTTACTACAGGTCCTAAAACCAACTACATTCTTCATTGCAATGGCTAAGAAGAAAAGTTCACATTAAGGGGAAAAAATGGTATTCTTGCAAACCGGTTCAGGAGTGAGGAGGGGGCATGGCACAGTGGTAGAGCATCTGCTTGGTATGCAGAAGGTCCCAGGTTCGATCTTCAATCCCTGGCACCTCCAGGTAAAGTACTTGGCAGTAGGTAATGAGCAGGGCTTTTTTTGTAGAAAAAGCCCAGCAGGAACTCATTAGCATAATAGGCCATA